TTTCTTGTTAGCGCTTTATGTTACAATCTACATAATCAATCAGTTTCTTCGATTTCTCACACCTTATGAATACCTAAATCCAGTTGCGTATACCTACAACAGTTAGAATTAATTAAACTACACGTAAGCTATTTGAATATATGAAGATAGATATGTGCAACGTATTATAATATACAACTGTACTTCTCCTTGTGCGATATATAATTTTATATATTATTATATATAATTTTTTTATAATATATTATAATATATATATTTTTCATAATATACACATACAGGGTGTTAGTTAAGTATGTGCTCAACAGAGCGATACTTTGGTTTATCTCAAGTAAAAAAGCCCATACAAACGTGTGTCCTAAACGGCTTAGTTTCCGAAAGAAAAAAATTTAAACGTGTAGTAATAAGCTGTTTATTTGAAAGAAATAGCTCGAGCTAGTTAGAAAACTAGTGAAAAACAGAAAACAGGCTTTAGTTCTTCCGATGGAATAAAATAATTTTAATTTTAAATTGTTAGAAAGTGGCTAAGAAATTTACAAAGGTTAAATAATAAAGAGCATACAGCCACAACTAAGGATGTAAATAAGTTATATATTATTTAAAAACAATTTCATAACAATAAGTAGACGTTTCGGTCAAGATTTGATCCTCTTCAGTACAATAAAATTAAATACGTTAAAAATTACAACTAAATACACAAATCAACTAATAAATGTAGCCAGTAACAAAAAAATTTTTTTTAATTAGAATTGTTGAAAATGTCCATGATACATCCATCGAGCCTTCTTCTCAAAGATTGACGTGTACACGCTCAAAGATACCAGGTGTGTTACGTATTGCCTCGCATGAAGCAACTATTCGATTCCTCAAATCATTCTCGTTCTCAATTGGGATGATATAAACCGATGATTTCAAGTGCCCCTAAAGGAAATAATTCAAAGGATTTAAGTCTGGTGATCTAGGAGGCTTCGACTTTGTCTACGGTTGTGCGAATGATAACTCACGTGAAGCAAGGCATATTTATGCAGGAAGATATCTCCAACGCAATTTACCGTTTCGTCAAACATTTGCGAACTGTATTTCGGAAAATAAGGCATTTAGCACACATGGACTTTTTTACTTGAAATAAACCAAAGAATCGCTCTGTTGAGTATGGCAACATACTTAACTGACACCCTGTATAGAAAGATGTTTATATTGATAAAGAGAGGCATTTTGATTTATATAAAAAATTCTAATTTACGTTAATTATTAATAAAATGAATTTATTAAAAATTTTATATAATTATATTAAAAATCCAAGTTTGTACATTAAAAATATTCCGTCGTTAAGCAAGAAACTTCATTCTAAATATTACTACATAAGAAAAAAACATTGTTATATTAAACGAATCGTCTTGTATAATAATGGTAACAGTTACACGTGATTGGCTTGTCAGAAAGTAATCACGCGTTGAGTCGGTTGAGGTTTTTGGTGCGCAATGTGAGAGCTTCGTCTCTGTTAGTGCCGATACACGACTGCTATATTTGCGTGTCGATTATCGCTACAGTTTCTTAGGGCCTCGCTGGCATAAACTAATTAACTTGCACACTCGGTTCTTTTGCATAATGGCTACGTTTGCGGGAACCTTATGCTTCGTATATGTATATACCGGAGGAGGGTCAGCAAGCCGCCTCTTACATACGGTATTCCCTCGCGTATTGTTCGGCCGAGCCCTGCGGCAATATCCGTGCATGAATATAGATACGTTCCTGCACACCACGTCGCTACGTCATGCGTACTTATTCATAACGTGCGCCGCGACCGGCATGTCCGGACCGGCGTCGACTTTATTATCGTCAGGCACAAGAACATACTGAGGGGATACACCAAGTATAATGGGCCCTAGGTTGAGATCTTATACCGACCTAGAAGGGCTCAGTCTCCCGGCTTGGACTTTTTCGAGCTATTCACGATCAACCGCGATGATGATTTGCAATTTTGCACAGATCCATTGCAAAAATCGTGTTGCTCTTATGTTTAATGAAAGGCTCATCATCACATGTCGAGAAATTAAATGTTTCGCTCATTTTTCTAAAATTTCATCCTCAGAATGCTATACGTATAGAGGAGTGTTGTCGATACATTGTTTTGGATAATATTTCTCAAACTAAAACTAAAAATAAGAGCTTAGAAACACAAATACAAATTAGAAAGTGCTGTCTATCATGTCAGATGATATAAAAGTAGTTTTATAGTACTGTTTGCAATTTTGCAATGATTAATTTTTTTTGGCAAGATAAACAAATGAGGGTCTGCGGATGAAATCTGACAAAATGGGCCTCAAAACTGACACAATTGGCAGTAATTTTACATATTCTTGTTCTTTTTCTTTTATAGGAGTCATCCGTACAAAATATCTATAAATTAATGTATATAAGATTTTCTGATAAATCTACTGTTAATCCTAGTTATACACACTTTTTTTTCCACTCTTGATATACACACTCGGGTACCCCATCCATATTTGTTACTCCAACTTTCTGTAAAAATAGTCATATTTCAGTTAATTTTTTTAATCGATGGACAATTGATTAAGGAATAAGTCTGTAATGTGTGAAAATCGATAGAATTAAGAAGCCTCGAGATATATGTATAAGTTCAAAGAAAAAGAAAAGTTCAAAAACAAAATACATATATAGAGCTAGAGTTAAATCTATACATTGTATATGATATCAAAAATTTAACATAATTTAACTCGCCACTGCTTCTCAATATGTCGTTATTTATACTAAAATGGTTAAAGAATCTTGCACAAATCTTATGAGAAATCGGTTTCGGTCAAATTGTTGCAAATTTTAATATTTTGTAACTCGTATCAAACTGATGAAGTCCTGTGCACAAACTTCCAAATGGCTTAGTTTTTGCTCCAAGTCCTTCGGAAGGTCATTTTACACAAAAAAATAGTTGAAATAAATTTTGTTTATTCCATTAACATTAGTTATATATATGAATACCACATAATACATCATATACTGCCAACATATACATATGTCATGGAAAAAAATATCAAGAAAAAAGTATCATATTTTTCAATATTATGATATTTTATATAATAATATGGTATAAAACATCTTGGAAAAAGGCTTTATCTTATTTTCTAATTCTAAAAATATTAGGATTTGCAAAAAGGCAAGGAGGCAATTTTTAAAAGAAAATCGTAAGAATTTTATTTTCGCATTTGCATAGAATATTTTAGCTGATGTGTATAAACACGCCATAAATATATAAATTGAATTTTTACTTTTTTAATCATCTATAAACAGGTCATACTTTTATTAGTATTAATAAAATGGAATGTTTAGTTTCCGAGAAACAAAGGGGTTGTGTCTCTTTAGAAGATCTATGTCAGTATATGACTTCCCTCTATGTGTATATGTAAAGTGACTTGTGTATACACATTTGTTCGGAAATCTAAAGTTAATTTTGCCTTGACGGAAATTTATTTGCGCAACGTTGGGATAATAGGGACGTATCCGCTATTTGATGCAGAGTGTGTAAGAAATGATGGAAATCGTATGCGGTGAATAAGAATTGACGGAATGATGCGTGGAAAATGATCTTATGACATAATTCACTTCTCTCTCGCGAGTTTGCTCCTGGCGAGGTCGGGAGATGCGCAGTCACGTCGATGGAACTTCATTCAGAAAACGACGAGCCGATTATGGCCGATTGAAATTTATATTCGACGTTGTTCGATTCATGATGTGCGAGGTGTGTAATTATATGCGCGGATAATAGGCATAGAATCGCCGAATTTCGAGTTATGGAACAATGAACGATCACGTTGAACGGTATAACTTCATACGCATGGCATATTAATTTAATCGCGCTAAATAAGATTTGAACAAGTCTATATGTCTGTTTGAGCAAAACAATGTGTCGTAATCTTCTTCTTTCGCAGCGTAACGTATTCTACGAGTATTCTAACCGACTTCCTTCTGATATCTGAACGTAAGTTAGTTTCTCTGAGTTTGCGGGGGTCTTAACCTTTTCAATATGTCGGAGAAAGTATTAATGGACTCGTTAAATGAATTTTATTTATTACATCTATCTCAGATGATTACACGCAACGTCGCATTGTAAAATATTATTAGCTCTCTTGAAGTGTCTCAATTACTTACGATAACAAAAAAGAGAGAGAGAGAGAAATTAATTAATTCTTTACTTAGAATCAATAAATGGTAACATTTATCGAATTTTTTTATAATAACCTTATTAACAAAAATGAATAAGTTTATTCTATGAAAAATGAATAACTCAATTATTTTGCGATAACATTTTATTGCATATTTATGTGGAAAATAAATAGGAAATTTTACTCTAAAAATTTTTTCTGTTAGTCGAATTAATATTGCGATGCGACCGCGCATTGATTTAGATCCATGAGATATTCAATCTCGCGCTGCCCTCTTTATTAATTATCTGCCGTAAATCAAAGCTCTCTCGCTTCGATCTTCCTTGAGGATTAGCTCTATAGCGAGTTACTTAACTGCCGCAAGGTATGAACTTTCTCTTCAACGACGAGGCACGATACGTGTAATATACATTGTTGAAAATTGCAGCATCAGATACACTGTATTCACTGATTGTTAGTACAGAATGAAACATGAAACTGCTTTTGTGAAATCTATTAGTTATTCATATCGTAATTTTTATTTCTATATTCTTTACTTGTATATCCTACTATAAAACTTTCTTATAAAATATTTATTATATTAGATCTGTTACAGAATATATTTTAGTTATGAATTATAAATACGTCTATATAAATACGTCTGTATTATAAAAAATATATGCGCGCGGGATAACAGTGACGAGATTATTTTTAGTATCGGCAATTTAACGAAAATGCGTAATGTATAGCGGCTGTTATGGAGACAAACTGCTTTTCTGTTCTTGGCATGTACTGGTATAAGTTGCAGTTCCCGGCCTTCTCGCATTTATTTGAAAGTGACGCGAGATTTCGTGTGTCTCTATTTGCTTTCCATTAAATAGCCGATACTCTTTCTTGATGCGATAATCGCAAGTAAAAGACGCACGTGTGAGATAAGGTGTGACAATATTTGACGCTATGCCTAGACCGCTGTTTGTCCACGGACCTTTTATGAGCCTCGGCTTCAGGATTACCAAGAAATTCTGCCGGATGTGAAGGTTTCCGGTTGGTTTTTTGTTTTTCTTTTTTTTTTAAAGATATTAGAAAAGGACTCAGGAAGAAGATTAATTATAAATGCAGAATTTTAAATAATTCAAAAACTTACCATGATTAGTTGATGATGGAGATTGATCATTGAATCGCAGCTGTAATGTATGAGTGCTTTTCCACGACATTAGGTTTGACCGGTGTAACCAGCCGTAAAAATAGATAATTTTTAAGCGTGGATTGGAAGCCAAAGAAATAAAAAAGATGTTATGTTTTATGTTTTAATACCTTATTCAAGTACACATTGAAGGTATAAAATATCGAAAATGAAAAGAAAAATAACAATCTTAACACCATTTATTAAAATGTTATGAAAGATCAATTTTTTTTCGCATCAGTGTCGATGATTCCGCCATATTGGATCGTATGAAACAAAAACAAAAAAAATATTACTGAAGTGTATTGTATTCCCTAAGCATTGACCGAGTTTATTTAAAATTTATTAAAAAATTTGACTGAAAAAAAATTTTGTTAACTTTTAGTTTGACTTCTGGCACAAATATTGTTAATTAATTTATTAGTATCTTGTAAAATAATAATGATATTGTAAAAATCCTCGGTCAATGCTTAGAGAATACTATAAGGATAATAAAAAACCAAAATTCAAATCAATCAGGATGAGTACATCCATGAGAAACCGTTTTGAAAAACAAGGTTTCAAGAAAAACTCATTTAAAGTCCTACAACATCATTTTTATATCACACAGTGCAAATTTTGTAGGCTTTGTAATTCAGAAACTAACTCGAATTTATACTCAAGACCTTTCGTTCCATATTTTACAAGTTTCAAACTACTTTTTAAAGCAAAACAAATTTTACTCCAGTCTAACCCCTTAAGTCATTGTTTTATTAATTTCGAGCTGAAAATGGCTCAAAACAGCAGAAACGGCTATTACTAAAAGCTTTTTGCTTTGTTACTATAAGTTTTGCGCAATCGATTTCCAGCGCTGACTTCTAATGTCCATTGATATATATTTTTTTTATGATTTATTCTTAAATAAAGGAGTTTTTATTAATTGATTTATTGAGTCATTGTATTTAATCTGAATTATAATGTTACCATGATTGGAATACATCATTCGAGATAAATTTTTGTTAAAGATTAAGTAAAAAGTTGAAATAAAATTATCAGCGATTTATATATGTACGTAAAATTTATTAAATTTAAATTTTATTTATAATTTATAATATTTAAATAATAGTACTGCAAAAAAATTCATATGATGCAAAATATGAGTTGGATATGCATTCATCAAATGTAGATCACGAATTTATTCGACGTATAATAGTTTTTATAATAATTACATGAAAGTTGTTATAACAATCTGTTTTTATTTTAATATATTCATTTTATATTATTTTAGTGCACTTATAATTTGATAATTTTTTAAATAAGTGTCCACTATTCAACATTTTATGTGCGTGAAATATTTTATTCATATTGGTAACTTTGTAACTTTGTATTGAACAACAAAAATTGTATAATATAAATTGTAAATAATTTACTTCACGTATGACAGCTTTTATTTAGTCTTTTATGGCGATCTATTTTTATCTTTTAATACCAATTTACCATTAATGTCATAAATCATTAATTAGTTTCAGTATCCGATGTTTTGCATTGATCCATTTAATATCTACACATATCTGGTTTAAGACAGTTTTTTAATTATAATTTACGAGCGTAACGTTTCGCTCGACAAAACATAGCACGACAAAAAGGTTTCATTATGCTCTCCTTTATGTAACGCCAAGAACAAGAAGGCATGTATAAATTGAAGTATACTACTCTATAAAATATATTACGGTAAACCTTTTTTTTTTTTCAACATGCTAGTGAACGTTCTATCTTTCGTGAACTCTCTTTAATACGCCATTGTGAAGTTTTTAACACGAACTCAGATTACGCTTGCAATAATAGCACGCCGTTATATCGTTACATAAATGAAATACACGACGTAGTAGCTCGTGTCGTTGTCGTCTTCGTCGTTCCCTTCATGAGCAACTCACGTCACTTTCGAACGTGAGCGGAATTTTGTGCGTCACTCTCACAGTTTCAAAAGCTGGGTCACTTTTTATGTTTGGCACGCGAAATGCCACGCCGGCCCGTCTCTCTGTGCTCGTCCATTATTTCCCTGCTCGATGGAACGGCAAAAATCGTGGTAACGCAATGATCAACCCTAATATCGCGTAATTGTTACGACTAGAGCGAGGAAGCGTGAGAATCATGCGATTACAGTAAAGGTACCAAACATAATTGTGATGTTTATAGTCATTTAAGTAAGGCTAGTGTCAGATGATCGAACAAATAATGATACATGTTTAATATATTATATGTGTAATATTTATTCGATTAATATATATTTTCGTAATTTTCATTTATCTATCTGCATTTTTTTCACATTTTTGCTAATTTGCTATACTACAGTATTAGATATATTATTAACAAAAAATTTACAAAATCATTATATCAGTTGGTATAAATTTTCACATATTTCATACTTTTCTAATTAGAATTTTTTGTACGCAATATATATATATATATATATGTGTCTTTCGAGATAGTTTGAGTATTTTTATGTGTGTTTATATATAAATTTTCTTTTTCGACTCTGAGGGCATAAATTGTTCCCATCGACAGGCTTGAAATCGCCGCGCCTCCTCTTTATAATTGCTAGGATAAATGCACCTGGCGCAGCAAACACATCGCGCATATACGCGGACCTCGCGTAACTGTACCTTCGTTCTAAAGTGAAGAACTCTGAAGATACTTTTAACGCTCCACCGATTCGTAATCGCGGATGCTTGTAAGCCACGTTGTAAGCGCACCACAGGTTACCGTGCGTTCATTAGGAGACTAACCCCGTAATGACTAACGATTTGCAAATCAATGTACCGTTGAAGTTCTGTTATTTATCTCGCGTTTTGTCTCTTTTTTTTTCCCCCTAAATCCAACAAATAATGGGATTTATAGCCGTAGCGACTGGTTACAGACAAAATTCCATCTGTTTTATTTCACGTTCAATTTTCCATTTGTTCTCACTAAACGACCTTTGAATTTATGATGTTTAAATTACGACGATCGCCTTTTATAATGCTTCTCTGCTCGTTCCTCCATTCTTATAATAGAAAATTCCTAAGCGTGATACACGAGTTTTCGCGGAGACTGTCGTCGGAGATTCTTTAGTAATCTACGTTTAAAAGCGGAGATAATTGTATAATAGTTTACAAAAATTCCCATGATTTATATTATTATACACTTATAATGACTTTAAGAAAGGTTATCATCAATTTATTTTTATTGAAACAATAAGAATCTTGTTTTGGACATGTGAGAACACAATCAATACTAGAAGTTAAATGCCTTTAATGATTGAAGCTGGATCTTTAATGCTAATAATTTAATGTGAAATATATATATATATATATATATATATATATGTACATGC